TAAAGAAATTCAAATGGCTGACAAGAAATATGTCTTGTTAAAACAAGTAGGGAAACATTGTTCTGGGCACAATTGTAACTATTGTTTTAATTTCAACATTCATGTTTTCTCTGTTGTAGTTTGTGTATTTGCTGTTTTCTCTGTTGTAGTTTGTGTATTTGCTGTTTGGAGAGGCTGCTCCTCGCGCGTCTAAGGGGATCTTCTTGTATCTATTCATTATTTTAATGGAATTGATGTTATTTATCAAAAAAAAAAAGAGAAGAGAGAGAAATCCCAAGGAATCACTCCAAGGGGGTCCTAGAATCACTCTAGGGTTTTTAGGAATCACTCCATACAGCAAATTTGCTCTAAGAAATCTTTATTCATTCATTAGCTTCAAAAGGAAGAGAATACATCCATCTATAGAGTGACTTGTGTGGCCCGGGATACTGTTCACCGTAATTACAAAAATGCCACTCCTTGTCTTGTGCATCAAGAAACACAATAACTTTCTATCTACTAATGCAAATAAACTGAAAATTGAAAGACAAGCCCTACTAAACTAGAGGAACAAGATGTTATAGCCCAGGTCCACACAGGACTAGTTGAAATGACGAAAATACCCATACTGTCCAAATATACAGAAATACAGAAAATTTCAGAAAATTCCAAATTTGATTCTTCAGCTCCTGCATTAGTGGGTTCAGAGGGTTTATCATTTCACCATCCACTCTTGCATAGAGGACACTACCAGTGAATGCCATCTATTTATGTATTTGATATTTTATCATAGATTAATCTCATTTAGTTGACACTGGAACCACACTTGAAATGTATATGAGTATATCCTTTGCTTCTTTCTATTTGGTTCACTTTACCTTATTTTCTGTAGATTATTTCTGAGTTAATGTGCATTATCTATATGATGTTTCTTTCGTTTGGTGCTTCAGAAGCACAGATTATTGTTCATTTTAGTTATTCTATGCATTTTATGTTATAGATTCATTCATTTCCGTCTTCACTTCCAATAAGAAGGGGAACAAATTTCATTGATGCAGTGTAGATGTTGGATATCCTAAAATTTAGTCATGTTATCTGATTAAAAGGTTCCTTTTGACAGTCTCGGATCAAAAAGATAATGCAAGCAGATGAAGATGTTGGAAAGATTGCAATGGCTGTGCCTCTTCTAGTTTGTGAGTACTGAACACTTTATTTTTGATAAACGTGTTAGTACTGAACACTTAAGCAGTAAGAATAGCAAAAAACGAATAAAATAAAGTCATTCCTTTATTGGATATTTATGAGATTCCAGCATTTCAGGAATAATTATATTACTTGCTTTTTATACCCTTTTTGTTTATTTCTTTTTTGTTCTTTCTTATAATCTCATATCTTATCATATCTTATCACATGTTTGATTCCATTTTATTAGAAGTCTGAAAAATTCTGCTTGGATAAATTGCAGCTAAAGCATTGGAACTGTTTCTGCAAGATCTTTGTGATCGGACATATGACATAACTCTTCAAAGAGGAGCCAAGACCATGAGTGCTTTACATTTGTAAGTGATTGTTTCTAGCATTTACATTTGAATTTTCTTTATGAAAGCTTAAAATTGAAACACTGGCCTTCATATTTGATTTCCCTTTCCAGTAGAAGTTGGTCTCTTCTTTTTTCCTGAAAGCTCCTGTGTTTATGCCATGGCCTGGTCAAACCCACAAATAAAAGCAAATATGGATTTGGGATTAATTCTTGATCTTTGACAAGTGTTATTTATTTTTATCAGCACAGTCTGATGGTAACTTTATTTTCTACCACAAATTACAGAAAGCAGTGTGTACAGAGCTTTAATGTGTTTGATTTCCTGAGGGAAATTGTTAGCAAAGTTCCAGATTTAGGTGGGTCTGATGCTGTTGGTGAGGACAGAGCTGTTAAGAGAAGGTTAGGATAAGAGTTGTTTTCTGTTGTCTGTATGGAGGCATATGGGAAGAATTAATAAATAAGTAGTTTGTACTTTTTTCCAGGAAAGCTGTAGATGATGATGGTGACAGTGATGATGAATTAAAGAGGACTAGAATGGTAAGCCATCCTGATGTTTTTTTTTCTTTATAAGCCAGATATGTATTTGCTTTTAAGTTGTATCCTACAAATAGTGGAAGCTTACTCTATTGTGCACGTATTGACTCTGAATGATAGAGGAAGTTTATATTTTGCAGCATGAGATGGGCCACAGCAGCACCAGTGGAAGAGGGAGGGGGAGAGGCAGAGGAAGAGGCCGTGGGCGAAGTAGCCGTGTGATAGAGAGGGAGAGTGCCCAATATGATAAGTGTGAAGATGATCCAGATATCTCTCCTCAACACAATGATAAGCACCATCTTAACACTGAAAGGCTGGATAATGGAAATGAGGCTAAGGAATCAAAAGAAGGCATGGTAGTTGGTAGTAGTACCAATGCAGTAGTCCGAAACTTTGACCTAAATTTGGACTTGGATGAGAATGGTGATTCCTCTGCCATGGCAGCAGCAGCCCCTGCCATGTCAGTGGAGCCTCCTGAGATAAAACACGAAGAATATCCTGGCTGGTCACTGTCTGAAATGGACAAAATGGCAATTGATCCTGTTCAGCTTGCCCAGCTTAACAGAAGGCTAGATGAGGATGAAGAAGATTATGATGAAGAAGGATAGCTGACAATTAGTAATCCATCTCATAGAGGTTAGAAGTAACTCCTTGCCCTTACATATAGGATAGATGGTAATATGTCCTCTCTTGAGACMTAGTTAGGCAGTTTAGGGAAACCAAGAGAAATGAACACACACAGATGTAATTTCTCAACATTGAAGATGAAACATGCTTCACCTCTAGAAATGCTGAAAGGGGTTTTTGACCTTTCTAGTATCTGTAATATATGTTTATATACCTCCCACTAACAAGAACAATTTCATACACATTTCTCTGAGCATTGGCAATCCTCAGTGTGTACTCTGATCTTTAATAGATATCAGGAGAGAATACTCATTAGCTATAGCATTAAAATTCCAGTGTTGAGGTAATTTTTCCATATATTCTGATTATAAACTCCTGCCGTGTCATGTAAATATTTTTTAGATGGTATCCAGAAGTTGCGTGTCATTAATTTCTGTTAGATGACTCTTTTAGGAGTTACATTTCATTTCACTGATGGGGATGTGAAGCAAATAATTTATATTTGCGAGTGAGATCAGCAAAAGAAGGCAACGAAGACAATGAAATGATGGTAAGGGGTGTTTAATTGTTTATAACAACGTGGCTTGTTGGATTGAGGAGGGTTGCCATTCCATGTTAATCTGTGTCCCTTAATTCAATCTTTAGCCATGGCAGGTGGACAATGGTGTATCTAAGTGCACATCTTTAGTAAGTTTCTCTATGCTTAATTGATATAAACAACTAGAATAGTACAAATTATCAAGTGTAAGCTCTACTAGAGTAACTGCGTGTGCTTCGATATGAATGATAACTCTCTCCCTCTAAGGAAGTTTCAAGAAATCAAGCATCAAGGTTATTTAAAAATTTAATGGCTTTGGAGTTGAAGATTTATTTGCTACAACTCATCAAGGAGTCAAGAGTTCTACATCAAGTTATATTTATTTGTATTTATTTTTTTAGAATCTTAATGTAAATCAGTTGTATGATGTAGCAATGTTCAAAATATTGATACGCTCGATATGCCAGTATTGATACTATTTTTTTTAGTTTTTTTTTTATTATTATTTTTTTTTTAAACCAGTTCAAGGGGTGTATCGGTGGGGTCCCGGGCCAACATGGTCGATACTTTGAACTTTGTGATGTAGTTGATTGACACTTCACAAGACTAACCTCAATCACCCTTAGAAAGCATAATCCTATTTGATTTGGTTCATTGGCTTTCCCAAGCTTAAACATGCTATGAAAGAGGAAAATATCTTTGAATATGAAAGTCTTTCCAAAGATATGGGCAAGATGTTCTAAGGTTTCTGTGTTTGGGCTATCTATTAGGCAAATTGGACCTAATTATGAGAAGTAATCAACCACCTAGAAAGATGTGTCTATTAATTGTGATAGTTGAGGCATGCATAGTTAGGACTATAAGTAATTGATTGTCCGTACAAATGTGTCAACTAATTGTGATAGGTAAGGCATGCAAATTTTTCCAGTTTGAGAAGATGTGTTAACTACTCAATAAACATGTGTTGACTACTCGGACTAATTGAGCTTACAAGCTTACCAATCGATTGATAAGAAGGAACTAGTCAATTGAGGGAGAAAAAAGTTTCCTCCCTTCGTGTTGTACTTGGCTGTCAAAATTGTTAAGTCATTTATCATGAAGAAATTTGACCATTTGTAAGCTTCAATAACTATTACTAATTTTGGAAAAGRCTTCTAACAAGTTGGAGGATATTTTAATCATTTCCCGTTAGAGTAAAATCCCTCTGGCTAGAAAATGATCACTTGCTCTTAATTTTTTTTATAAACAATGGTTTTCAACTTAATTCATAAAAAAGATAACAAGAGTCAAGTTTTGAATTAAAGCTTGTGAAAAACAATTGTGCATACTTATTATACATAGTTGTTTTTGGAGAAAGCAAGTTAGAGCTAGTGTCTTTTAGGAGGAAGAGATCCCTAAGTTTCATTAGTTTCAAATGTGAGCTTTGTTGAAACCATTGAGCTCGTTCTCACCCATCTACTAGGATCTTCCTTTATAAGTTGAGCATTTGACACTTTAGCAATTGTTTAGGTTGTGTTTGGTATCATTGTCACTTCTACTTGCAATGTTTTAGGCTGGTCGATACAACTTTTATGAGAACATATTTTTTCTACCACAAATTCTTTAAGTTATCAATACAAAATTGGGTATCATTGTTGCTTTGTTTAGAAATGCCAAATTTGGTGTTTCTACTATAAATGCTAACACTTAAACAAATGCTTATATTATTTTAGTAGAAATGGTTATTTAATGCGATGTGACAAGACAATTTCTCAAAAATTTGTATTGATCAACACAAAACGTTGCAAGTAGAAGTGGCAATAGTATCAAACATAACCTTAGTTTGTGCTTATAACTATTTATATCTACCTATTGAAAGGTTATGCTTGTTATAAACCTACTCCTGTGCTTATTAATGGAAGATCTTTGAACAAATAGATATTTAACTTGTTGAATACCATTTAAGGTCTTATTGGCACTTTTGTTAATCCCAACTACAAGGGCTTGTAAGCACTCAAAAGCCCTCTTGGTTTAAGTATTGTTGGCATTTGTGTAAATTTAATTGGAAAAGGTATTGTAGGCACCCATGAAGTCATGCTATGCTAGTTGTAGAGGCTTAACTGTCATCCAGGAAGTCAAATTGGTTAGTGGAAATCCTAAGTGATGGCCTAATGTAGAGGATGTAGGTAGTAAGGTTGGCCAAACCTTTATAAAAATCTATATGTACCTCTTTGTTTTGTTTCTTTTCTTTTCATGTTTCGTAGTTTGTTTCACTTTCTAACTTCTCATATAACTGCATTAACTTGAATACTTGGGACCTTGCATATTCTTTTCTTTTATTTTGTTTCTTATTTTTTATCTACAAGATACAAGTTCTATTAGTGCATGTATAATAGCTATTGACTTTAGTAAAAATACCAACTACACGAACTTAATAACTACCTTTACATTTGTTGTCATTGCTATTTACATTTATTGTTCACTAGTAAGTGCACGTGCTTTGCACGTAGCAATTCTAGATGATGAAAATGATAATAATAATATATTCAAAATTTATATAAACTTTATGTATTTTTTAATTTTTGTTTTTATACTTTTTTGTTTTTTATTACAATTGGATGCAAATTGCAAAATCTAAATCTGATTACATAAACACATAATCCAAATATGTGATAATCAGATCAAGTTGTGAATTTTCAAGTATCATTCATAGGTCTACTTGCTTGGCTAGATTCTTCTTTTTGTAATGATTTATCTTTTTTCTTTTGTTCATTTATAAAAAAAATGTAAGATTTAAATAGAGAGAATTGAATGAGGTGAAAAATAATAATTCAATTTACAATTTAAACCACAAAATTAAATAGGGACTAAATTTAAAAAAGAGTATTTTAGTCAAAAGAAAGTTTCATAATCTTATTCATATTTTTAATAGTAGTGTAAATATAGAATTATAGATGTGTTCAAATTTTCTATATTATTTTTATGTAAAAATAATTTTAATGTCACACTTACTTTTTGTTTAATATGATAAATATATGATATTATACATGTGCCTGAATGCTTTTTTTTGTAAAATTTATGTATTTTTTATTTTTATATTTTATTAGTTTTTATTATTTATTTATGACATTAACAGTTAACACATTTAACCTAAAAGTTGAATTATTTATTATTAATTTTTATATTTCATTTTTGGTCAGTATTAAATTATGTATTTCATTTTCATTATCAATAAAAATAATTCTTGTTTATTATGTGCACCTATTTTTTTAATTTGATTAATAATAAAATATCATAAATGTGTTTAATTTTTTCTACATTTTTGTAATTTTCTATATTTATTTCTATTTTAAAATTTTTATTACCTAACTATGACTTCATAGGTTGATCAATTTAATTTGGATGGTTGAATTGCTTAGTCACCACTTGGATAAATAATGGTTTTGTTTTTGAGTCAGTTTTAAAACATATGGGTTTATATTGTTAAAAATATTGATGTAGATCTAATCAGTAGTATTTATTAATGGAAAATAACTTAAATATATGATTTAATAAGAGAAAGTGTGATTTAATACCTTAAGTATAAGACTTAATGAGAGGGGATTAAATGAGGTGGAAAAAATAATTAAACTTACATTTTCAGCCTTTACAATAAAAAATGGATTAAATACATAAATATGAGAATTTTAGTAGCCATAAAAGCTGGTATTGAAATTATAATAAAATGACTTTTATATCTATTCTCAAATAAAAAATAAAGGGTAATTTTAGTCTAATTTCACACTGCATCCACACTTTTATTACATTTCAATAATATTTACTTTTCTATAATTAGTTTTGATTATTTTGATAGTTGATTCATATCTTAACTATCTTGTGTAGTAGCTAGGTCTATTTCTCTACTACTTGTTACTAGTCTAGCTGCTAAGGCACACACTACCAATTTCAGTTGTCTTTTATTGTGCTTATCTATTTTCAACTAATCTTTTACATTTCTATAGTTATTTAAATTTATTGCTCTTATTATTTATTAACTGTAGAACCAATAACCAAGATAGTAGGCTGCAACTCTTAACTGTTCAATTTATTTATTAGTTGCTATTTCATTGTTAGCAGTCATTATTAGTGTTGTGCTTAATTGTTGACTGCTAACCCCTGCAACTCCTGCTACTACCACCTTGTTTATTTGTTTTGTAGCTGTAGGTTTCTCAGTTCAAGTGTTTCATGTTAAATAACTGCTGAACCTAACTTACTAAGCCTCTAGACTTTTGCTGTATATTCCTTAAGGCTTATTAGATTCAGTTTGGGGGAAAGAGTTTTGAGCTTGATTCTCTCAAGAATGTGTGAATTTGGATTGAATTCCATAGAACTCTACCCAATACACTCCCCTCTTGGGCAAGGCCATTAGTCCCAACACCCTTCCCTTTCCTTTCCCCTTAAATAGGCTTTTAGCTGAGCCTCATTTGGTATCCTTCCTCAACCTCGGCCTACCCCCTATATGCAATAATATTTCAGGATGTATGTCTAATGCCTAATTCCAAAGTGTCATGTAACTATCTCATCATGCATTGCCATTTGGATAACTGTCCCCACCTCCCCGACCTCCAAACCTTCTAACACGCTTAGTGCATGCATTCCACATTGCATGCCAGGTATTCACCCATCTATTTGCTATTGCACGTACCTCTGAGGATGCTAGTTCTTTTGACCCAATCTTGCTTTGACAAGAAGGGTCCCATCTGACCAACCGAAGACTGGCTCATTGGTGTGTTAGCTTGTTTATTCCAGCATTAACGTGAAATCAAATCCCGCAATCAGCACTTTAGAAAAAAAAGGAATCAGGAGAAGTTATTAATC